ATAATAATAATAATTGCGTTTGAATTTTTGTAACTTTGCATTTTTTGTAAATAATTTTGTAACTTAATGTTTTGTCACGTTTTTATGTTTTGAAATTGTTTCGCTGAAGTCGAATAATCTGAGAATCTCATCTAAATAAAATATTTTTGTTTTCATTCGGTATTTTCGATGGAATGTTGTTGATTTTCTATAGAGTTACTTCGGAACTCTTTTCACCCATTGTACGAATACCTCGTGTGTATATGATGTGCTTGAATATGATAAGATGAAATGTTTTCACTTTGCGCACTAATTGATCAACACATTCGTCATTTCGCTGATTTAAAATTTCCTTTATCGCGGCAATATTTTTTCTGAAGAATTGATGGTAATGATTGGTATCAAATGATTGGTAATAATAATGAAAATATCGCATATGTGGGCTTCACGGTTCTAAAGAAGTTTAGGTGATCAATCATATAAGGCGAACAAGAGCAAGTTTTGAGAACCGTAACAAATTTAATAGTAACTTGATTAGATTACTTGATTGTTGGTTCAGTTCTTTTAATGATAAAGTAATCCACTTGGCATTTTTCTAGCGAACAGGACCAGTTGCTGATCAGATCAATTGCGTTTCGTAAACTCATTATCGACTTTGTTAATTTAATGTATCGATAGAAATATTTATCTCAACATTTCATTTCCTCTTTTGATGCAAACTGCGCGTGACAATTGAACTTATGATTAATAAAGTTCGTAAATTTGAGGTATTTCTTAAAAGGTGCGCGAAATAACTCTTATAGTGAGAGGGTATTCGCGTTACTTCGGTAATACTTTCGATCGTTTATTGGGNAGATTTTTCAAGAAATACATCCAAATAGAATGATAAAGTCGTCCTCATAGTGATGATTCATGTATTAGTAATTGAATGGAAGTAGTGATTTTTGATTGATGAAATGAATCGCTTTGTAATGGAGCACATTGCACTCTCACTCTTTTGTAGAAAGCAGACTTTTGCTGTTTTTTTTGTAGATTTTGTGCCTTCATGGCTATCGTCAGAATGAGAAAGTGTTCCGTGAGAAGACGGGCAGCTTTCGGAAAGCACTTAAAAAATACGCTGATTTTGGTTGGATTCTTTTGTTTGCATCTAATATTTTGTTTTTTACATTTCATACTTTCATTCTCTTCGCATTTTGTACACATATTCATTGATCTTATTTTGAGCACATGGAATGACTGATTTTTGTGAATAAAGTTGAGATTTAGAATGATGAAAGCAGTAATTTTTTGAGTCTACTATAAGTGATCAGTAATTGATCAGTAATCAGTAATTTCGATCAGTAATTGTTTATGTTTTGGAGTTTTCATGAGTGCACCCCACGAACCTGTATTGCCACCACAACCGTGTTCACAGAACGACGGCGGAGGAGAATGCGAAAAAATTGGTTAGTGCAACTGCAAGAAGTTATTTAAGAGCACTGGAGTTTACGCTTTGAATTAGAGATGCATGTAGGAAGTGCATTAAGATGAGCAAAGAGCCGATCCACGTGGTTGGTGGTTCTCGAGGTCGGAGAATCACTTCAGTTCGCACGATGTCACTGATCTCTGTACTGGATTCGATGAGTCTGTTAAAGCAGTCTTGGATTTCGCTGCGAAAGAGGCTTGTTTTGCATTTGTATTTTCATTGGTCTTATCATGTTAAAGGTATTACATCTTGTTGTGAGTCTCATTGTTATGTGATTCGTTCAGATGGAAGTACTTTTGTTGTTCGTGCAAAATGGGTTCCCCACAGGAGGTACTTACCCATTTTTGGTAATTTGGAGGTGTCAGGGGGGGATGATGGAGGGGATCAATAAATTAGTTCGGACGTTGTGCGTGGAAATGGTAAATTATTGTACCGGGAGGGGATGATGGCCTGCCAGACCATCGAAGAGGGTAATGAAGCACCCGAGCGTGGAGACCACTGGTTTAGGATTTCTAACTGTGATTTCTCTTTATTGTTAGGAAAATGTTGTTGTGGAAGAATTATTTTATCAGTGGAAGATACGCATTTTAGGGCCCATTCGATGGGATATTTGCGTTCAGTCAAGGTGCTGCGT